AATCAAAGTAATTTCCTCCATTTTCTACTTTATTACTAATTAATAATACTTTAATTAAGGTATTTCCCTCCGAAACAAATCAATTTTGGAGACGAAAAACGGCAGGAATTAAGTTTAACACCTAATATATACATACATCGATTTAATTGAATTTTAAATTTAAAAACCGATATCGATTCGATCTTTCCTTCATCTGTATTCCGTTATTCGATAGATTTCTTTTTGTAACTGAACTTTTTTGCTTCTCATTTGTTATTTTTTTTCTTATATCTGTCTTATTTTAAGTGTGGACAGTACATATACATACAACGTATATAAGTGCAGAAGAAACATGCTCCACCGCGAGTATATACTATATACTGAGACTACGCGTAGTGGTAGTACGTGTTTTCACACGAATTCTAACCTAACATGTAAGCCTTTGCTGATGATAATTTATAACCTACATCTGAACTGTCAAAGTGCAAAATGATCACATATATTAATTACAGTGTCTAATCGCAATACAATTTGCATCCTAGTAACGTGTTATTTCAAATAATTTGTTCGTAAGTATATTCAGATATTACACTTGGATAAGAAATATTATTAAAAGTTCTATAAATAATATTGAAGGATTTTTTGAAAGGGAAAATTTCTAAATATTAACGCGCTTGAAACTTATAAAGTTATTGATTTTTACTTATATTTCCAGTAAAAAAATTTTTCTAGTTTTATGATGTTCGAGTTGCCAGCAGAATTGGTAGCTAAACCTTTAGCTTTGATAGGTTTGACTGGATTAGATATTGCAAATCCAGTACATCGCTCTATCTGGGATGCATTCAGTAATAATCGTAGACCAGATTGTGCAGCCGTTCAATTTAAGCTCCTTAGTTTGACACATGAATTTCCTACTGTTAAACCAAAGGTATAATATTTGATGATATATAATCACACAAAGATGTAATTTTGCTGGGACACACTTGTGAAGAAAGTATCCAATTGATGCTATTTATCTGCTATTGCTATATATTGTCTTTATACGTTTTAGCGTAGCTCGTATGAATGGTACATACCTAAAGGAATTTTAAAACGAAACTGGATGAACAAATATCTCAATGAAATTCCTTCGGTAGTTGTTACATTCTATGACTTAGACTGGAATGATCCTTTATGGAATGAAAAAAAGATGGAATGTGCTTCTAGAGTACAATCTTTAAGGTAATATTTTATAATCTGTTTAGAATATTTAACATTATTATATTATTGATGCATTAAACTAAGTGATACAATATCTTTGTTAGAGCTGCCCTTGATGGAAGAAGTACGAAAATAGCTGTAGTATTGATACAACATGCTGTTCAACCGCTTCCTGGTGCTGAAGATGTAGTTGCAACTGAGCGTGCAACAGCATTGTGTGGAGCTTGTGATTTAACAGCAAAGCTTTTATATATTTTGCCACATGCTGATCACTTATTAGGATATATATCTAGGTTTTTAATTGTGTAATTTTTTATTTCTTCATTTTTCTATTTTTGAAGGAAATAATAGTTTTGTTTACTGTAGGCTAGAGACGGCATTCTATGATTTGGCACAAAATCTTTATCATCACGAATATCGAAATGTTAAAAGTCATCGTGATCAGCTCACTAAGAATGTTCATCAATATTTATTTGTTCGACATCAATTTAAAATGGCATTCTTGAATGAACTCAAGCAGGAGCTGCATCTTGCTCAAAAGTAAGATTAAAAATATGAATATAGCAGTATTAGAATATATATATATATATATATATATATATGTTTGTGTGTGTGTACATATGAATGTTGCAGGCATTATATGCAAGCTTATCACAATCTCCTAGAAACAAGAATGACAGATGCAAACGCAGTAGAGATAAAAACTGTTGCTGGTTTTATCAATTATAAGTTGTGCAGAATAATGTTCAGTTTAAATCTTCCTAAAGATGCCATTTCTCAATTTAGACTTCACACAGAAAGGTATAAACATTTACTGCAATGATTTACACAAATTTTAAACTTCAACAGTAATGATTGATTAATTTTTATTATTAGATTTAAACTAAAAACTGGTCCAAAGGAACTAATGTTTGAACACCATGCTTGGATGAGTAGTCAGTTTTCTACATTTGCAGAATTATTTGATGAGGCTATTCGTCAAGGATTACCTGCTGTTCAAACGCAACATCCAGGGTATTATTTCCAATTAGCTGCTAATCACGCAAGCTTACGACAATCTGCGTGCAAAGAACTCTGCCAGGTATATACGAAAAACTTAATTTTCTAACAAATACATTATGTTTTCTGATTATATTACTCGAGTTTCAATACTTTGTTAGCATATAAGCAGCTATCCAGATCCAGATCCATTACTGGGTGAAGAGAAACTCGAATTTTATGGTCAACGACCATGGAGACCTGGGAAATTGAGTGCAGAACCAGCAGACACAGCTCGAGAAGCTATCGGCACACAAGCTTTACAATACAGGGAAAAAACTACTGTTAATCATTCTGTAGGATAATTACGTATATATCTGTGTACTTTTAAATCAATATATGATAAATAAATTATTGTAAAATATTTGCATTCCTTTTCAGATGATAATTATTGGTTTACTAGGAAACGCGATATCACAATTCAAGATATATCGTTGTCCAAGAATGCGGCGATTACTAGGTAGATAATTTGCCTTTGGAAATATAGAGATAAAAATTACTTTTGTGTGTGTATGTGGTGTAACGTATTTATAATATAGTATATACAAAATAAAATTTTCTTTTCTTTTTTTTTACAGTCGTACAAATGGCAGAAGAATACTTTAATGCTCGGGATTATGGCAAAGTTCTTACGTAAGTTAATTAATTTTTTCTCTCTGCTTATGATAAAAGCCTTCAGTAAAAAAACCTTTGTCCTTCAACGGCAAAGTCATTGATTCTTTCCTTATTTTCTTTAGACTAACTTTATGTGTTAATAGAAATTGTAAAATTTAATTGATCAGATTATTGATGCACATGTTGTGGGAATATCATGGAGAACGATGGCCAGTTTTACTCACTGATATCTTAAAGAATGCACTGCGAGCTGCATATTTATCGACCAGTATTCAAGACTATCTCACTTTGGCTTTCGAAGCTTTAGGGCCTTCAACTACATTCTCAGAGGAACGGCAAGCTGTTATTTATAACAATATTATAAATATACTACAGGTTAGTTCGATAAGGCGTTTATTTGTTTCGCTATACTATATAATGATTATTGTATAAGTAAATAAAAGTTTATTATTTATTTGATACAAAAATTAACAAAAAAAACGGCTTGACATTTGGTACTAGAAAAAACCACCGAATCCAGAACCAGATTTGCCAGACGATATTAAGCATCTTGCCATGGAGAAGTGGATGTTGGAACTAAATCGTTCGGAGCCAAGTATTTTTACAATTGATGATAATAATATGACATCATTTATTGATCTCAAAGCACGATTTTTGCAGCAAACATATGCAGTGAATACAATGATAACAGTGGAAGTTATTGTAAGGTATTTAAATTTATCTTTTTGTTATATATATATATATATATATATCTATATTATATATACATTAAAAAATTATTAAATATAATTTTATTTCTAACTGCAGAAATTCTTACTTTGGTACCATTGAGTTTTCTAATGCATCGATAACAGTTAGTGGACCAGGTTACAATGCTGAGATACCAATTGATGAGATTCAACAATCAGATCTTATTTTTCAAGCAAAAGAAACGAAAAAACTTTACTTCAACTTTAAAGCTCCTCGTCAAAATGATGGTGTAGAAATTCGTATTAGCACAGTTTCTTTACAAATGGGTGATAGCGAGCATTGTTGTATTATGTTAAGATTCTCAGCTATGGGTAGAGAAACGAATTTGTTGGATCGTTTGTATCCTGAAATACAACAACTTCGGTATATTTATAAAGTTTTAAAGTTCCGTTTTTAGTATTTATTAGTCATTTGACAAAAACACTAACATAATTTTTATTTGCAACAGTGGAGGAAAGTTTGAAGCAATAAGACCATTAATTCACGCAGAGATTAAACAGGAAGAATCAAGTTTAAGTTTAGATGCAAAATCCAATAATCCTGCGCTTTTAGGCGAGTGGCTACCCATCACGATATCCTTATCAGCTAATGAGAATGTTAATGCAGTCTGTTTATATATAATACTTTTATCAGATGGTAGCAATGAGCAATCAAGTATGTTTTCACGTTTTCATTATTTTATTTTCTTTTATTTTTTTATAAATGATCTCTTTTTTCTAATCTTATACACTATATTCTTTTTTTTTATCAACTAAGCTGCTCTACAATGTATTTCAGCTGAATTAAGTATTAATATGCTTAGTAAAGAGTCAAAAGTATCTATTGTTGTTGGTGATATGGTAAAAGGCACTTCAGCTAAACATATTGTGCATATTAGAGCACATAAAGTAGGCGATAGAAATATCGTAATAAAGGTATTTATATATAATTATCTCAATAAATTAATATATCAAACGATTGTATAATATTGTCATTTATTATTATTATATGTAACAGGCAGACTATACTAAACCCGAACAAATTAGGGGAAATAAAGAATTAACATATTCATTGGCGGTTAAGAAACCATTTGAAGTTGCAACACAATTTTATACTACACTGTTCGAACCATTAACAAAAGGTTTTGTTAACGAACCCTTTATCATTATGCCTCACATTACCTGTGTTTCTCCATGGCCTATAAACATTCTAAGTACATCTATAGAATTGGTAAGTCTCCACAGAGTATCTATATTGGATTGTCTAGAAAATCCATATGGCAATCTTTAAGCAAAACTAAAATTTAAATTAAAATTATTTGAACTAAAACTTTTGTTAGTTAAAAATAATTTATACTATATCATTTTGTTTCACAATATTTTTCTATCTTCCGGGTAATTTCATGGCTTCTTTCTCGTAAAAGTCTTGAATTTTAAACATCACCTGAGAAATTCGCGCATGGATTTTTCGGACAATTCAAAATCTAATTTAATTATCTGTATAAGTTTATGTTAGGGAAATTAGAATTTTGTAATAATCTTAAGCTCAAAATTAGGCAGATTCCATTCAAAAAGAGAGCAATCTTGACAATCAAGAGTCCATTTTAGCGGGTGTTAAACTCTGTGATGGTGAGACAGGGACTGATGCCTATTGCTTGATTCCAAAGATAGGTGGCGAGTTGCCAATTAGTATTGGAGTATACACTATCAAGTGGAAAAGGTAAAGATTGGTAGAGATTATGGCATAATGTGGTCTGTAATCTTCGTTATTTTCATAGAGCAAATGACGAAACTGCGTTGGAAACTAGTAGTAGCGTAACTTTAGCTCCTTTATGGGTCGAAGATGCGGTAATCGGATTAGAGGCCAAAATGCCAGCCCACGGATGGGTTCGCACGCCGTTTTGTATATCATATTTCATAAAAAATCATTCTAATTACCTTGTCACTTTACGCTTAGCTATGGAAGGCAGTGATGCATTCATGTTTGCTGGTCAAAAACAAGTACGTTTCATGCTTACATTCCACACGATGTACACAGTGATCTTATTAATATCTTTTCAGATTGATATTTACATATTGCCTAAAAATATTCGAAGAGTTGATTGGGTTTTACGACCGCTAGTCGCTGGTTTTGTGGCTCTTCCAACATTATCGCTAACTGTACCTGCAGGTAATAATATCTACTACATAGAACAAAATTTAAAGATTTTATAATATTTATATTTAGTTGACATATCAAAATTGTAATATACAGATGAGGAACACAAGTTAGGTAAAGGGCGATTATCAGAGATGATTGAACGTTCTTTGCCGAGTCATATATATATACTGGTAAGAAAAAAATTATCAATAAAATGCTTTAATAATGCTATTTTGTAATATATATATGTATATATGTGTGTGTGTGTTTTTTACAGCCGAAATCACAGTCTTTAGGAGAATAAATAAATTCGACATTGGGATTTCTTGTTTTTAAGAAAAAAAAAGTATCTTCCCTTAAATAAAATGTATTATAACATAACAAATTTTGCATAGACTAATATGTATGTGTATCATATTTATTAGAGTCATAAATATAAATTTTTCTTGGATATAATTTATTTAAAGTATTTTATTATTATATATTCTAAAATTAAACATTCCGAGATTATTACGAGTATATAAATTTGTAAATTTTTTACAGACACTCATTAAATGATAGCAATCACATTACTATGCGCCATAGTTAACAATAGTTTATACACAGACATCGATCGTTTTTAAATGTATCGAAGAACATTGCGTTACGCCAGTTACGCGTTACCGTGGAAACCAGTGAATATCGGAACGCACCCCTATACTCTAGTATTAATAAACATACATTTTTCTTCTTTTTTCTGTTCCTCAAAATAATATAAAATCAATTCTAAAAACATTAATTGTTATCGACAATTGTACTCGCATATAGTGGACCGCAACGATTTTGTGAAATGGCAAGGAGCAGCAATATTGATATTGGAAGTGTTTTTGATGAATACCTGCTAAAAGAACAGCAATTTGAACGAGAAATAGAAGAGCGGTACATTTACAATGAAATTTATTATTCGCTAATATTATTTGCTAATGATACATGCATGTGTATAACATTTTCCTGATCAACAAAAAAAATTATTATTTTTCATTTTATTTTACAGCAATAAATTACGTCGCGAGATTCGCAACAGGAATATTTTCAAAATTTCTGACTCATCGCCAACAAATCTGCCTTTAAATTTGGAAAAATCTCATATTCGTAATCAGGCTCTGCTAAAGGTTTGCTATAGCATATTTTTTGGATTAAATGATATGAAAAAAATTCAGTGTACTTATATTGAATATGGAACGTGCAAACTCTCTATGCTAGACAAGCTGCTTACTTTGAAGTAATTTTACTGATAAGATCACATGTTACTCAATGTGTTATCTATCGTTTTGTTACAATTTTTTATAATTGGAAGGAAGTTTGTCATAAAGTCATTTTAGTCTATATATTCAGAATAGAATTCTAGTTATAATTTTATATGTTACATATATATACACAAAACAGTCAGAATATACACATACATATGTATATTAAAATACATAATACATAACATTGTTTAAAATTATATATACATTCTATTTTGAAAAATTTGACATGAATTATAAATTGTCTAAAATGAATTGGGTTTAATATTTTTTACTGTAGATTATCATAAAAATTTTTTGATTTAAAGAATTGATATTGCAAAATATGGTGAGATATTTATTGTACATATGTATTGCGTGATATATATATAGTGTGTGCGTGCGTGTGTGCGTGCGTACACGTAAAGATTACATATCTTAATAGATTTTAAATAAAATTGGAAACTTACATATTATATTATTATGACAGGATTTGGAGATGTCTAGAGCACGTTTGAGAACTTACGCTTCTTACACGCCTACAGATGCAGAATTGCAGCAGATTTCGTTGGCCTATCGAAGTCATCTTCGCAAAAATATCCAAGATGCGGAATCGTAACAAGCTCATTTCCACGTAATCAATTAGGTACTTGTCAGTGATCATTTCAACCTGATAACTCGAGCCGAACGAACAAACTTTGAAGTGAAAAGTTTGTTGATCGTTGGGATCGATGGATCGGGTTGATTACTGCGTGGTCTATTTTATGACGTGGCTGCTTCTTCGTGTGTCGAGCGACGTGAGAACTGATCCGTAAAATGTGGGAGTAAACACAATATTTTTTTGCGCACTTTTCTATAGTTGTTTCACAATCAGATTCGAGTTATTATTGCAACAATAGCTACTATTTTTGTAAAGTAAAATAAAGCAGATTATCTAACAGACAGTTATATATCTTACATATCGTACTTGAATCTATATTACCGTCGCTCATAAAATAATCATTACACAAGGTAACATATTACATTGTAACTCGAACAGCGTCAGCGTGTAATATATTGCAAACAAATATACTCACGGTTGACTCTTTACTTTCCGACGAAATATGAGCCGCAGACTGAAATCTAACGAAGCTAATTTGCATTCTAATCTATCTGTTCAAAGGTCTCGAAAGACTTAATTATAAAGGCAAACGCGTTACTTTTTGAAGACAATCGCGTGGCGATTATTCGAGCTTACCGTATGATAGGCCAACTGCTCAATAGATCTTCTTATCCAGCATTATTCAGGAGCTTGTTGAATTGTGAAAGAATGTATAAGGAGGGTGCGTGGACAAGTGACGAACGATGTCCACCTGCGCGCTCAGGCATGCCATATTCATATTTATTTTCTATGTACGGCGGTATTATCGCTGATAATTACCGGCGTGCACAACGTGCATACACGATAGGACGGCCACGTACCCAGAAATTTCCCGATAAGAAGTTCTGGTCAATAATTTGTTGGAAGAACTCGCGTTTATTTTAAACTGTTACTTTTACACCCAACTCGCAAATGCGAATCCCAACGTTTCGCGTTGACTATTTATTTCACAGGCGTGACTTTTCGACGTTGAATTTGCCAGCAGATTAGATTTACGGTTTTATCGTCGTACACGAAATGGCATTTCAAACTTCGGAAATGCGCAATTTATATAAATTATCGTACAAGTCACGCGTCCTTGCTCGTAACTTCACTTACCTTTCGTACCTTCGGAAAACACGTTAATTGCGAGTAATGTGTAAACGGTCTACACGTCGCAGAAAATTTAAAAAGACTGGAGGGCATCACGAAACGTGATGGATTTTTGGAGTTTAATTTTATATTTCTACGTGGCATATGGTTGTAGCAGCCGAGTAAATGGAATAATGCTGTGACTTCTTACTTTAACTATTATGATGTCCGCAACAGCTGTGTCAATAGCCTTATTATCTTGATATGTAGTTTGTAATATTCTCCAGGGATGTATCCATAAATTAACGTTTTAATTAATTTAAATTGATTTTTTCGAAATCAAGATAAAATCAAATTATATATATATATATATATATACATACAAATATATATATATACACACATATATACGTTTGATTGAAGAGAATATTGAGTATAGGTTGAAATTAATGCCACTCGCTCTGTTCTCGATTGTGAATATAGTGAATGCACCTATTATATTTGAAATATCAGGAACATCTGCAGTTGTCAATTCACGTCCTACTTGGATTTTTTTAAACCATTGTACATTATTTCTGCGACTTTACGATGCCACAAAAATGTATGGCTCATTTTATGAATTTATTTATCTAGAACGTGCGTCATGGATCACGCCTTTAAGCTATTGAAAGATGTTTTATGGGATTGATATAGAATATCGCATTTTCTTATGTTTGTTTGTCCAATTGTATGTACGAGTTCAAACCGATGCAACTTCGTTGTATTTAATTACTTAATTGTCTGATATTAATGTATTATTGTCACCGTTAGTGTTCATTGGATGATAAGACGCGTAATGTTTGCTGTCCTTGATACATGTAGTCAAGAAATTTCGAGAAAAGAATCAATTTTTTAGTTGATTTTCTTCTTTGTAGCAATAAATAAAAAAAAATACAAGTTTTGTGTTACATCACAAGTAAAACAAAAACTTGAAAAAAGTAACACCTGCCTAACTTATATCACACATTTAGTTATACTATAATAAAATTGTTTTTCTTATATATTTTAATAATTTAACGAAAATTAAATATTAAAATACAATATTTCCATTAAAATTTAGAGCAGATATTAATTTGTTTTTTTAAATAATTAATATTAAATGAGAGAGAGAGAGAGAGAGAAAGAGAATGGATAATTGTGACTAGCGTAAAGTGATTTTATTCTAATGCATTGATAGTTAAATCGATTTACAGAATACTAGAATATCTCAAAACCTTTAAGTTTAAGACAAAAAGGTTTTAAACAAAAGTTACACAGTTACTAGAGAGAAAAAGATGGTGATCTTGGCTGATCTTGAGAAGAATGTATTTGAGAATAAATCAAGGTTATCTATTTTTTTTTAATTGAGACTTCCATTTTTTAAATTTTTATTTCATATTTATATAGCTTCAAAATATTATAATAAAGTATTTTTTTCATTAAGTAATTTATAAGTTATGGGGCTTGAAAGTTAGCAGATCAACGCTTAGTCAATTCATTATCTTAAAGCAATTAAGTTTGAAATAAAGAGAAGATGATCTTAGTTGACATATTTTCAAGTTCATTTTTTCTTCATCTCAAACTTAATTGCTTTAAGATAGCGGGTTGACTAAGCCTTAACCTGTTAACTTTCAAGCTCCATAACTTGTAAAATACTTAATGAAAAAAATACTTCATTGTAGTATTTGAAAAGGTAGGTTTTGAAGCTACATAAATATAAAATGAATGCGAGCGTGGCAGACAGCGTACTGATCGATCATGCCAGAGGTCCCGAATTCGATTCCAATAGGAATCAAAATATTTATGCTCATGTCTCCTCTCTCATCCTTGCCCACAGGAACAAAAAAAATTGCTCTAAAAAAATTCGGAACCGACATTAAAACTGTTAAGTCCCATATGCTCATGGCAATTGAATAATCAGCGTGCGCACCACAAGCATATGAGAGGTGTAACACAAGCCAGAGGCCTAACGTAAGAAGACGAATATAAAATACAAAATAAGTTTCAATTAAAAAAATTTTAGATAATCCTTGACCTGACATCTCAAAGTTATTATCATCTTCCCCTTAATAATTGAGCAACTTTTATCCGAAACATTTTTGTTTTAAACTTAAGGATTTTGAGACATTTTAGGTGATTGATTAAAATAGACCACTCTGTATATGTGTATGAACTACTATATGTATATCAAAAGATTAGAGACCAACTTTAAATAATTTATTAACTCCCACATAAAAACGATACTAACGATACTAAAGTTTGACAGAAATTGTAATTTGACATTTCGTTTTAATTTAATACAGTAATCATATTTTATAATATATTTTATAAAATAATCTATACATATCTCTTGATCGTTGCTTATCACAGTACTTTTATATATAATTTATTTTTTAATTACATAGCTGTTTAAAATTTAATAAAATTACATGTATATATATATATATATATATATATATGCAACTGCAAGCATATATGTGTCTCACGTGTCAAACATAAATACAATTTTCTGTTAATCTATACATTTCAGATAAAAAATTTTATGTTCTCATTTGTCACAAAATTATTTTAAGTAACTAAATTCATTAATATGTATAGAACTAAATAATATTACTATTAAATTTGTAAAAAATTCTTGATTATAGGTGCAATTTTTTCAGGTTCATTCAAATGTACATGATGCGTGCCTGTCACCTCATGATACTCAAATTTCTTAGCTCCTACTTTTATGATGTCCAATATTTTCTGATAATTTTCAGGATTTTCAAATTTCATTCCAGGAATAGCACGAATGTTGAGATAAGCACATTTTATCTGAGTTGCGTATTCAAGTATTAAATCTAGAGATAATAGGCCTAAAAGGGAAACCTAAAAAAAAAAACAAATAATTTTAAATAACATTACCACACTTCTTTGAATCGTAAAAACCTACAATATTAGCTCTTGTCAGATAAAATATATTGCACAATTAAATTCTTTTACCTTCAATCTTGGATCACGAGAAAAATAATATTGGTTTCTTTTATACGCTGGCTGCATACCACGTTTCATTAATATTTCTGCTCCTTCCCTTGTTATAGAACCATCATATGCTTTTTCTACTATGTTAAGCATTTCGTCATATTCATGAGATGGTACATTGTCCAATGTTAATAATTCATATTTTAAAAATCTGTCAATATATTCTCCGGTGGTTGCAGCTGTTTTCTTGATATCCCTTACACTCGGGCTAGCAATGTCCAAACTTATAAGAAAATCGACTTCATCTGGATATGATGCTGCATACAGAAATGATATGGCACCACCCAATGAGTGCCCAAGAAGTTTGACCTATTTCCATAATACAATCAAAGTTATAACAAACTTATATTAATTTAGTAGATATATAGCAGTATAGCATATATTAAATATTACACAATATTATATATATCTCTTATGTATTAGAGTTAGTCATATTCTATATACATAAATATTTAACATAAAATAACGCTAGTGATGTATGTTAAAATATTCACATTAACATAATTTTCACATGTATAAAAAAAAACTTCATCATGCAGTACGTTTGAGTGAAATATAAATATAAGTGCAATTTAGTGCAAGCAAGGATGACTGTTAGATATGTGTGAGAATATATAAGCATCATACTGGAAAAAATATTCATATTGATCTCAATTGTAAATCCATTTTATCCACTCGCTAACCTTGTTCCATTTGAAATATTTAATAATTCTACGAAGGAATATGACACCATCCCAATACACATAATAGAATTGACTCTTTGGGTAATGTGAAGATAAACCGTGCCCAGGCATATCCAAGCAAAGAACAGAAACATCATTTGACAGCAATGGCATTAATGTATCAAAAGTGCCTGAATTATCCTGGCGACCGTGTAGTGCCAGTATTGGTTGGAGCTCACTAGGGCCCCACCATTTGCCTGCAGGTAAGAGTTTTACAATTATTTTTTTATTTTATTTCATTTTCTCCAAATTATGACATTTCAATAGAACACAGATCTTGCTATTAAAAACTTATAGCAATTTGTTAAATGAGAAGAGAAAAACCTTGTATATTTTTTTAAATGCAACAAAGTTACAGCTGAGTTAAAAAGCTTTTTTGTCTATTACTTGAGGATACGATGTAATATGCAGTTATACAACGATAATTTTGAATAATGTATAGTGTTTTTTAACGTGCTATTATTAAGAGTTTTAATATTTATTTTATATATTATGCATACATAACAGTCAGCCTTTTTAAATATTTTTTTTATTAATTATGATATGACCAGGTGCAAGCAATGTGAGTATTAAATAATGAAAGTAATAACGTTATACCTCCATGTTGAATGTAACATATAAATACTATTGCAAAATATGCAAATATTCTAAATTAAAAATACGCAAATTAAGTAATTGGTAATTATACATAATATAAACAGATCACATACTCCTGAAGTTATGCTGTAATTGCATTTAACTTCTGCAAAATAAAGCACATAAAACCCATGCTCTTGTTTATTCCATGTTACTGTTATATTTATAATTTGTAAAAAAAAATTTTTAAATCGTTGTATAACATTGACTCGCTGGCTAACCTTGTTCCACTTGTAATATTTAACAATTCTACGTAGCGTAAGAACCCCATCCCAAAATATATAGTAGAACTGTCCGAGTGGTAGATGAGAAGAAATGCCGTGACCAGGCAGATCTATACTCAGTATAGCTACGTTTGATAATAATTGTGCCAACTTGTCAAAAGTTCCTGAATTGTCCTGCCAGCCGTGTATTGCCACTATAGGCTGCTTATCTGTCGGTCCCCACCATTTTCCTAAATTTATCAATACGTTGAGTTTAATGTGTCATTTGTTGAGAGCAATATGTCTTTAATTGCCGTTTAATCTAAGTATGTATTTATATCTTTAGGCGATTATGTGTATGTATATATATATATATATATATATATGTGTGTGTTTGACAATCATACATATGACATCTGACAAAGTTTGTTGATATTTATTGTTATATTTTATACCAAAAATCTGTATTATCTGTAATATATATATGCTACAGTTTCAGCATTTATAATGAATATTGAAACATAGTCTTAATATAAAGAGTAAAATTATTTTGATATAATTTTATGATATAATTTACAATGTAGGATACAAATTAGGGAAGACATCAGACTATATACTAACCTCTAACATATCCCCATGGCATTGGTATTTCTATTTCCTTGACATCTACATAAAGTAATATCCAATTATTGCAATAAAATACTTTTAAGTACGTGGATGGTAGCATTAAAAAATTAACCTTCTTTCTTGTATCCGTTCGTAGCACTTTCGCCCAAGTTTTTTTTCTCCTTGGCAGCCATGTCAACAGCTGATGTTTGCTTGAGACTCTGGAAAGACCCACGGATCCCAAGTGTTTCGTCAGTAAAGCTGCAAAGGGAAATCGTCGATCATCCGAATGAAAGAGCAATCTCACGAGCATAAATTTTGGGAAAGATGGACTTTTCAGCGAGCATATGGTACGAGATATCCATCGTCGAATGTTAGAAAACTCATATATTTTATGTATATTTGAAAGTATAGAACCTGTAATTGCTGTGAATCCGTCTTCGAGACGGAGAGAGAGAGAGAGAGAAAGAGAGAGAACGTCAGAGAACGTTGTTCTTGTCGTCAGTGTCGTCACCTATTTCTCTTTCGAGAATCGAGAGCGACGATTTCGTAATCATCCCTTCCTAAATATCACTACGATGACGAGCACTTATTCAAGAATTCAATAAAAAAAAAAAAAAGAAAAATTATTCGCGTTGATTTTTATCGAATATATAATCGTCGGTATTTGCTCAATAATTGTTGTACTGAGAAGAAATGGTGGAACTCACGCGATCAAGCCCATACCACTGTACGAATATCAATGAATATATAACCATATACAACTGAACGTAACTCGCGTAGCTGTGCGTGACGTTAGATAGGTACGCCCCGCGAAACAAACCAATCTAATGTTAGAACATGACTAGCAGGACACGACTGTGATGTCAGAGTTAGACGCGCGATTCCGATTGGTCAGCCCTTTATGTGTATACACATGCTCGGGCACATACTTTTAAATCGATTTATTTCCGCATTTCAAAAGACAGGCATTGACAAGCATGCAAAAAAAAAAGCAAAACGGTGAAGGAAAAAGAGGGAGAACAATCACGTATAAATAATCGTAAAGAAATGCGATATCAGCTGTGTACTTACTTATAATAGGCCTTCTACAATAGACCGCAAGTCAGAAGTTCTAAGCGATCTTAAGTCATAATCGGTGAAGTTGGCCAATGGCCAACTTGAATGACGTGGTTAAGACTGGTTAAAACTTCTGACGTTCTGACTTGTGGCTTATTGTAGAAGGGCTGTAACGCAAACAAAGTCTCACATCATCTATATGTTTAAACATGATCTTATATCATATGCTACAAAATAAGCTAGTCATGGTCCGTTATATAACGGCACACCTCTCCTCACTCTTTCCTCACCAAGCAGACTATTTTTACATTTAAAATCATTTAAACGATAAATCGTTTTTATATTTTATTTTAATTAATTATGACGTATAATGTATATGAAGGCCGTGGTCCGATTCATGCTGACAACACTCATGAGCATCGTTTGTCTTCGTTTAATACTTGACAAACAACAAGGATGAAATGATTTTAAAGCGTGTGAGCGTGAATCGGATCGCGGCCGAAAACGTTAAATAATAATAGGTTTGTTCTTTTTGGCTGAACTTTTGAACCAGTTCATCTCTTTCTTCTTCTTCTTTCCTCCTAAAGAGAAAAGGAAGAAAGATGAACTGATGCAAAGGTTCAGCTAAAAAGAACAATTAGCTTATTGTATCCCTGTTGAGAAAATAAATTCCTGAAATCGTTGAAATCAACTATGAAATTGTGGAAATAAGAAATGAAAATAAATCAAATATCCCAGATAGCAACGTGTCTGTTTTATCGCTGGCTATGTTGTTTGCTAAGTATGCATTGCTAAGCATATTACTTTTAGTGCTTTCCAGCAAGGAAACACAATCAAACAGTAGTGAAACATTATATCCTTGTTGTTTGCCTACGTTAAACAAGTCTGATTCCAGCCTTATATAGTTGCGAATTGAAGATTAGAATTCGGCCAATTAGAAGAAAACGGATTGAAATTAAAATTATCTGATTAAATTGATTCAATTCTAATCTCCAATTCGTCCACTCCAATACATATTAAGTATGACATGGGCATTAAGGTGTTCTATTGCGCATAACGGCATAATAAGCCTGGATCTACATAAACAGATTTTTAAGCCTTAAGCCAGAATGGATGAATCGTAATCAATTAAGCTGGAAACACAATAGACACAGACAATAGGCACAGGCAACAGGGAATAACGAGCCGTCCAATCAGAGCTCTGGGATATAATGTGCTTTCCATTTGATGACACAAGTCGACACAATAAGTGTCGTTCTATCTTTGTCACTCTCTGAATGTCACAAAGATAAAACAACGCTTATGTCGATTTGTGTCATTAAATGGAAAGCACCCATGTTCAAGCGACTGTGCATCCTTGGGAATGGAATACCTTAATATTCTTGTAACTGTTTTAATTCTTTGCAGAAACGTGAAAAATAAAAATATAATGCCCGTTTATACCAATGTAGATTAATTTTGATCTCGGTTGAACTTGTTCTTTATCTTTTTCTAATTTTTAGGACTAAAAAGGGATAAGCAAATTGAATCAAGATTAAAATTAAACTACATTAGTAGAAACGAACATATAAGTCATGATGTAATTCTGTTATCAATTCAGTGCGGTTTATGAAAAAGTTCACAGGAATTCAGAACGAGTATTTAATTATAGAGTGAAAGGCAAAAAATTCCGCACGCCTAAGTACGTAATCGAATGCATTCAAAAATATTTCGCCCAAATGTGAAAGGTGGATTGCAAAGGAAAGGAATAAATTTCGATTTTATCAATTATTCTCAATAATTGTTCGCTAGGTACGTTAAGTGCTCGGTGTAAAAGGGGTCACAGTTTGTACGTAAAGCCAGTGAAACGCGATGCTTGATTTCCTGCTGGATTAGAATCTTGCCACCGTATTGGCTGCGATGCTGTCAGTGCCAGTATCACAGCCAATACGGTGGTAAGATTCTAATCCAGCTAGCAATCCAGCAGAAAAACAAGCATCGTGTGCCGCAGGCTTAAGTTTTGCACAATCGTATTTCTTGATAATTGTAATTATAACATAATGACAAAATAATATTGTAAATCATTTTTAAAAATATATCATTATTTACTTTATAGACAAGATTGAAGAATTGTTACATTGTTCTTTAAATAAATTATTGAGGTTATGAATCTGTTTTTTCACATAATGTACTATTAAAATTGCTGTGATGACATACAGTATGCGAGCATAGTTATAACGTTTTGTTACTTAATAATCAGACATCAGAAAATATCTGCTCTAAGAATAAAATATTTCATTTCTTAAATATTATTCATTATTTAAAATCTAAATATATAGATTATCATGAATGATGAGTATATTGTGAAAACTGTTCTTCATGCTGGATCAGAAATCATTAATTTTATATCAGGAACAAAGGTATATATATCTGTTGTTTTTTTAAATTATACAAGATTTTAATTTATAAACTTTGTTATGAATAATTATTTATATTTGGTTTTATTTCAGGTTATATTTCACTTTAGAACTACAAAATGTGATTTTGACAAAACAGTGATAGATGACAGTAAGACAATGGGAAATCCAATGGAACTTATATTAGGGAAAAAATTTAAATTAGAAGTATGGGAAGCAATTATACAAAAAATGGCATTAAACGAAGTTGCCTGTTTCAAAGTGCATAAAAGTGTATGTTTGCAATACTTATTGTTACAATTTTGTGTTAAACATGTATAATATACTTTTATGATGAATCCTGTTTTAGCTAGTGACTACATATCCTTTTGTCTCTAAGACATTAAGAGAGGCTGGCAAGCCTCAGTCACAGAAACGTAATCACCATTGTTGTGGCGTTACTCTTCAAAATGAAGGCATTGGTTACGCTGATTTGGATGAACTTATAAAATGTCCTCAGGATCTGGAATTTACATTAGGTAAAAATATAAAACATCCTATATTTTATTAAAATTTAATGTAAAAGTTTTTATATTTTTCATGATTTTCTGTACTTATTTTTCTTCTTTTACAATATAAAAAATAGTTTTAAACAAACCTTGTGAAACAGCAGGACTGATAAAAATAACTCTTGTATTTTACAGAACTTATTAAAGTGGTATTGCCAAATGAGTATGAGAAAGAGTCATGGCAAATGACAGAGAATGAGAAACTGGAAAGTATTCCGCATCTGAAAGAAAAGGGAAATGCTTTATTCAGAGAAAAAAAATATGACAATGCATCTGAAATATATGCAAAGGCTATTGGAATATTGGAACAACTCATGCTAGCGTAAGTTCTGCCTATCAAGAGATATATTGCAATTGAAAGAGATTAGTCTATAAGACAAACAACATGGTTACATTATATAATATATATAAATAAAATGATTTTGATTTTAGTGAAAAACCAAATGATAAAGAATGGTTAACTTTGAATCAAATGAAGACACCATTGCTTTTAAATTATGCACAATGTAAACTGTTAAATAAAGAGTATTATTCCGTTATTGAACATTGTACAACAATTCTGAAAACAGAGCCAGGTATGTATAATAGATACAAGAGAACATTAGGTTACCTAAAAGTAATATCGCTAAAATACTATTTAGTTTGCTTTTTATTTGCAGATAATATAAAGGCCCTTTATCGAAGAGGTAAAGCATACATTGGTGCATGGGATGAAAAAAATGCTATTAGAGATTTAAGGAAAGCTGCTGAAATTGATTCTTCTCTACACAATACTGTCGAAAAGGAGTTACAGGCATTTGCAGTAGCTATTAAAGAGAAGGATAGTGTACAAAAAGAGAAATTATCTAAAATGTTTAAATCAATATGTAAAGTTTAATTATTTTAATATTAATAATAATTAAAATTTTATTTTAGACCGTACATGTGAGAACACAACCAATACAAACTAGAAATTAAATGCCTATACCAGTCAAAGCTGGATCTTTAATGCTTTAAACTATATAACACTATATAAGTCATGCATATATACCATATTTGTAGTCATTCGAACTGCGCACCAGTTTTTTTGGACTTATAAACGCAATTAAACTATATAATATCACAATAATAATATCACAAATTAAATTAAATCGACGAGCAATTTTTAATAATTTGATGCTCAATTAGGCATCGTATTAAAAAGATGTTAATGTGCTGAAAAACTAAATAAATTTAGATAAATTTATTTTCAAAGAATTGAAAAGAATACGGGCGTTAGGAGTCAGGCGCAGAAGACGTCGCGCAAATAATACACCTATGAAGCTTGAAACTTCTTTATTCAACAAACGTGCTTACATGTTTCGGCTTATTTTTTAGCCTTCCTCAGAGCAAACACAAACTAACATATATAAACTAAAAGTTATCCTGTCATGGTGAGCTCCCCTACATCGAGAATTTAAATGCCAGAATTAAATAAAAAGAAAGAAAAGGAAAATATAAAAGAAGGGAAATATTAAAAATGTCAAATTAGAGAATGTAGTAACTAATTTATCAAAAGACTTTAAGAATATAATTAATTATTCCGAAAATAAGAACGGTCACCATGACTACAAAGCACCATATCGCAAACATTATCATGAATAATTAAAAAACCGGTTCCTGATATATTGGCCAGTCGGTATCAGACACAGTGAGTCACTTTTTAGTTATTAGCTAGTATTTTTCGAGATAACAAATGGAAAAATCCAACATTAAAACGTTAATCAATTCCAAGAAAATGAAAATTGTAAAGTGATCAAAAATCTCGTCGGAAGGACTTATTACTGTGTACGAACGACACCAACCGTTGAGTCGATTAGTTTGATTTGTTATGCGGATTTAAATTTATTTTAATATTATGTAATGTGAAATTAATCTTTAATTTATTCACGTTGAATCAATTTAACCAACTATGTGATCCATTTTCTTTTTTTTTTTTAAGTTGAAAAATTAATTTTTTACTAGTTTCTATTATGAAAGTTTAAAATACTTACTCACACAGCGTGAAATATTTATATAAATCATTTTTTTTAATATAGCATTGTCATATTTAACAAAAATAATTTAGACATATTGTACAAATATTGTGTAAGAGCAAGGATATTTCTAAAACAAATTTCCTAGATACACTCGTATTTCAAATATATTTCATGAAAAATTTTTACAATATTTCAAATCTTTCAATAAAATGTTTTGGAAATTTTTCTAAATATTTTGTGCTGTGGGTAATACATTAAGTTTACTGTATAGATGTATAAAAGAAAAATTATCTGTTACACAAATATCTTTATATTATGTAAATTGTATGTATATACATACCAAAGAACACTCTGTATATACAAATAAAAAACAAGAAAATAAATATATATTGAAATGAAATATAAGTATACGAATAGCGCCATCTGTAGAAGGTAAATTTGATATTATCTACCAATTACGTTACGAAGGTTCGGAAGGTTACGATTGTTGCGAATAAATCGCCGATCGAAAAGCGTGAGATATCATGTTTGACATATGGCATAATTCGTTGTACGCTTCGAATAAAGAAAACATGAATTCAATAATGTTCCTAAAGATATAATCGTGCAATAAATATAAAGGTAAACTCTTGATTTTATGTTGACTTCTTGAGTTTTTAAGTGAGATATTATGATTTAACCTATACGAATTTGCTTTACTTTTACAATATATAATCATATTGTTCCTTAATAATAAACTTCAGAGTTATGTTAAATTTCTTGTCATATATTTTTTTTGTGTAATATAAATTTTTTATGGAAATGTACATTTATATTAAATTTAATTCATAAAGTTATGATGTTTTATAATGCAAAATGTTTCATATGCAAAATGTTTTTTTATATTTAAGATAAAAATAACTTGAAAATGAAGCTAGTATCAAGGAATGTAGATAAATTTGGAGAAGGGTAAATATATATTTTGTATATAGTATAATCTTTATGATATACCAATATAATCTTAAGATTAAATACAAAATTTAATGTAATCTTTAGGCGTGTGTCTCTTGTCCCCGAAAATACAGAGGATATATGGCATGCCTATAATCTCATTAGCGAAGGAGACTTTGTAAGCTGTTCTACTATCAGGTATATTCAAGTTTTATATTTTTTAAATAATATTTCATTTAATTTTAATCAATACCATTGTGTCAATTTTATTTTTCACTTTTTTTTAGAAAAGTGCAAATGGAATCAGCAACTGGTAGCTCTAACAGTTATAGAGTCAGAACTACTTTAACGATATGTGTAGAAAATATTGATTTTGATACTCAAGCATGTGTTTTACGACTTAAAGGTAGAAACGTGGAAGAAAATAAATATGTTAAAGTAAGTTATATGACATTAAATTGTCATCTTTGGTGTAAGGTCGAAATTAAGTTAATAATAAAGTTGCATGTACATAAACATTCTGCTAATCTTTATAAGAAATAAAATTTTCTTTTACTAAAGATGATTTCTGCAGATCAAAATGTGATGTTTGTATGTTTTTGTAATCTATTTTGTATTTGTATTCAAACACACAGCCATAAATATTTTATTAGCAATTTCACTCAGCTTAATTTTGTTATTTTTGTATTTGCTTTTCAATTGTTTGAGCTTGTAAATTGTTTTAATTTTTTAACTTTGAATGAAAATATTCATATTATTATTTGCATTATTAAAGTATTCACATTGTATTAGCATTGTATTAGAAGAATTGTTTCTCCTAAATGCATTTTGGATTATTCAGTAAAGTAATTGTTTCAATGATGGGATCTTGTGTTTTATTCTTCTATATACCTATTTGTATGCATATTTAACATTGATTGTCGCTTTAAATACTAAATCAGCAGATAATTATTTATAATTATATTTAATTGTAGATGGGAGCATATCACACATTGGATGTTGAACAAAATCGGAAATTTAGTATCACTAAAGCTAAATGGGATTCTATTTCTTTGGAAAGAGTTGATACTGCATGCGACCCTGCACAGGTTAATATTTTTTCAAAACAAAGATTATACAGGGTGTTTGGCGACTACCGCATTTTTTGTCATACGTGGGTAGAACAGCCTATACTGAATCAAAAAGTCCTGTACCATTTTGAGGTGTCAGCAATAGTTAACAAGATA